AGAGAGAGAGAGAGAGAGAGAGAGAGAGAGAGAGAGAGAGAGAGAGAGAGAGACTCTAGTTGAACAGCGAGTCAATTCGCAGTTATCGAGGTCGATGTCAGGTCGTGATCTGGTTGGTGACTGACCACCTTTAAGAAGTGGTAGACCACCTTCAAGAACTGTCAACCTTCACGAAGTGCCAAAGAGTCGGCGGTCAGAGGACTCCAGTGCCAAAAGCATTCTTAGGGGACCTTGTCGTCGTGTTCAGAACATATTGGCGTAACACTAGATGCTGACCAAACAGTTCTGGATGTCGGTTATAAGATGCCTTACAAGCAAGCAGCGACTGCTTGGAGGACCTTCTACCCGGTATGGATCTTTGAGAGCAGAGTTTCGCACTCCACCGTGAGATCCATGTCGGATAGGTGGACCTGCCATCCTACCGCTGTTAGCTGTAGTCATCTTGAGGGAGTCGATGAGGTGAGGACCCGACAAAGAAAACTCTGAGTGGACTTTGTTGTCGTGTTTTTGGAACTTATTGGCGTAGCACTAGATGCTCACCAAGCAGTTCTGGATGTCAGTTATATCGACAAATCATAAGATGCCTAACAAGCAAGCAGCGGCTGCTTGCAGGACCTTCTACCCGGTGTGGATCTTTGAGAGCAGAGTTTCGCACTCCACCGTGAGATCCACATCGGATAGGTGGACCTGCCATCCTACCGTTGTCAGCTGTAGTCATCTTGAGGAAGTCGACGAGGTGAGGACCCGGCAAAGAACACTGTCAGGGGACTTTGGTGTCGTGTTTGGAACATATTGGTGTAGCACTAGATGCTCACTAAGCAGTTCTGGATGTCTGTCATATCGACACATCATAAGATGCCTTACAAGCAAGCACCGGCTGCTTGCAGGACCTTCTACCCGGTGCGGATCTTTGAGAGCAGAGTTTCGCACTCCACCATGAGATCTACATCGGGTAGGCGGACCTGCATCCTACCGCTGTTGGCTATAGTCATCTAGAGAGTCGATGTGGTGAGGACCCGGCAAAAAACACTCTTAGGGGAATTTGCTGCCGTGTTTAGAACTTATTGGCGTAGCACTAGATGCTCACCAAGCAGTTTTGGATGTCGATTATATCGACACATCATAAGATGTCTTACAAGCAAGCAGCGACTGCTTGCAGGACCTTCTACCCGGTTGGATCTTCGAGAGCAGAGTTTCGCACTCCACCGTGAGATCCACATCGGATAGGCGAACCTGCCATCCTACCGCTGTTGGCTGTAGTCATCTTGAGAGTCGATGAGGTGAGGACCCGACGATATTCCAATTGGGACGTGCTCTTGTTTCGTGATGTGCAGGTGCTTACCGGCGGTGCGGTCGATCCCCTCCTCGACGTGAAGCAAAGTGTGAGGGAATTGCTCATGGCTCACACCAGAAGTGCGATTGAACTCGCACTTTGATGGAGAAGCAGTTGCGTAGTCCATCAGCGCGACGATTTAATATGGACATTGGCTTGTCATTTGTATATCACAGGTTGAAAACGCCATCAAATCTTTCTGTGTAGAAGATTTATATCCATTCATACAAGTATCTCTTGTCATCACAAACATCGAGATGAAAACATCTCAAGTCGAATTGCAAAGCACACGGAGACATCGCAAACATCGAGGTGAAAACATATGAAGTTGCCTACTGTTTTTTTCAAAGGTGAAGTCTCACAGCACACGAAGAGTTTTCAGAAACCATTCAATGCAGAAAATTCATTCAATGGCAAATTGCAAAGCACACAGAGACGTTTCAAAAAATCATTGAACGCAAAATATCATACAATCCCACATTGAAAAGTGCACGGAGGCTTTCCAAATATCACAAAGTACATGGAGCCACAGTGCGAATATGTTTTCATTTCTCATATGGAACCAACAGTTCAATCACAAATGTACGGCATCCGAAGTGCGAATATGTTCGCATTTCTCATACGGAAACAACAACCAGCATTCCGTGGAGAGCACGAAATGTATTCCGGGGATAACAAAATTGGTGATCATTCAGTGCACCGCTGAATCCGTAAAACAACTTCAAGCACACATACATTCTGGCGACAATTGGTTTCCGAATGGAGAACAAGTTCGCAACTGTCATAAGGAACCAACCGACAACATTCAATCGAGACAAGCAGAGAGAGTGAACCGTAAAACAGGGCGGCACACGCAGAACAAGGGCGAGCCAAAACATATGAAAGCTGGTTGGTCGGGGTGGGGCGGGGGAGAGGGGCTTTCACACCACAAAGTCTCGCGAACGAAAGAGATAAGCACGAAATAATTTGGCGAACAAGAATAAATCGTCGATATCTTTCACATAAGTAAAAGAAGAGTACAACATCGAAACGAACAAACGCAGCACGGTGCTGCCGCGGTCAGAAAGGACATAGGGAGAAACACCCCGAAAATAAACAAAAGGAGCACGAAGTTGGGATATTCACATCCGATATGTAAGCGGGATATTTACATCGGCATCTGAGCTTCTACTTCACGTAAGCGTTCGCTGCTACCCTCTAGCTGATGTTGCGCAGCAAACAATGAGAACAACCCGAAAACAAACAAAGGAAGCACGGCGCTGCCGAAAGTCCTACGAGTAAAGATGACAGGTTCCACGAAATGAAGAACCCTTAAAAAATTGATACAGCACGAGGCTGGGATATTCACATCGACACCTAAGCCTGTACTTGACCAAAACGTCCACTGCAATCCGGCACCTCATGAAAACAACAGTACAGCTCGAACCGACTAACTGCTAGATCAAGTGGGAATAGATTCGCACTTCTGCTTATGGCATTTCGAAAAAAAAACTACGCGTGTTTTTACAACAGTGGTATCATTCAGCGCCTTGGAGTATGTCCACCGCAATCCTCAGTCGGATGTTTGGAATGTCGCTTTGGGCTATCGAAAATGGTGGCGGATAGCCGCGTGCAAGAAATGAAGCGAAGGCGAGCATGAAAACACCGCATCTCGACCCGTCCGATTGTTGAGGGACACCACGAACAACCACCTTGGGCTCTTGGAGATCCACTTTCGTTTTTGGACCAGAATGACAAACTGCTTCATCACGGAGGTATTGCGTGAAGTTCGCAATCAGATCGGAAGAAAAACCGCCATCGTCTTGTACGAGGGAGTCGTAGTACTCCAGTCGTTGTTCTCGGAGACACAACAGGGTCCAATGCACTCCATGTTTATGGACAGGAATCAAGACCATCTCGTGCGAGAAAATATCAACATCTTTTGTCCATCTCGCAACCCTATCATGTCGATAGCCGCCACGGACGAGCTTGGTATAGAAAAATGGACTGAAAATGTGAAGGGACAGAACCCCAGGCAACGCAGCGTTGCAGCGTTGGCAAGCAAGGCCAAGTACGACTCCACCACCTCGTCGGAAAGCCATTCCCCCTGAACAAGAGTTTGAAAACTTTTTCTGCTCAACGGAATTGAACTGACCCCTTTGCGAACCGAGCACACCACCTCGTGGCCATTGCTGTAATCTCCACAGACGTTCCGCAACATTCTCAAGTCCGTAGCGCTAAGCTCCTCAGTAGGCAACGAAACGCGAAAACATGATGTAGCCCCAGCTGCACAAACACCCACGAACAAGTGTGAGGAGTGAGCACAAACCCCGTGGTGGAATGACTAAGAACTGTCTGCCCTTTTCCCAGAAAAGYTGTATCCCYGCTTGTTGAATGTGTCCTTCGCGATGTACTTAGGACACGGGTCTTTCAAGACACCCCGTTTGCCATCGTCATCAGACCCGTCAGACAAAGCAGTAACGCTCTCAATAGACGCAGCCAAATGTTTCCGCAGACCTTCCTCCTTATCTATTCCACAAGCCTTCAGAACCTTGACAACTCTCTGGGAAAGGCGAGGCATCTGGACCCTTTTGAACAACCCTACACTTGATGACTTCTTTGGTGAAGCGGCCAATGACCTCCCTGAAAGACGTTTCTCGCGCACGGCTTTTAAAGGCTTCATGGGCAGGGACATTAACAACCTCACACCTGTAGAACATAGAAAACAACCCACAACCCACAAGTTTTTTTTTAACTAGTGGTAACAGGTACATTAAGCCATGGCATCAATTTGGACGAACACAGAGCTGGCCAGTGACAGATATGCGAGTGGTCCTATTCACAAATCTTACCGTGCTCGGGAGCCCTTTGAGGGAACTCGCCCTCCTGTCGCGGCACTGCGCCAGCGTCCACAGACGATTCGAGGTTCTGGACCTTGGCCACGGCTGTGTCGCTAACTAGCTCGGTGGCAGCTGAGTCGCTTGGCAAGTCGATGGGTTCATGAAGCACCATTTCCCGACCGGTACTGAGGACAGATGCTCGATCACCCTGTTCGGCACCGCAACGGGTGGACGAAGAATCATGATCTTTCCGCTCTGGATCCATCTTGATGCTGACGGCCACCTCACCGCCTTCCACGGAGGATTCGACGTTCTGCATCTCGGCCATGCCTGAGTCGCTAACCAGCTCGGTGGCCGCCGAGTCGTCACCCAACTCTATGGCTTCACGAAGCACCATTCCCCGAGCGGTGCTCAGGACAGACGCTCGACCACCCTGTTCTTCACCGCAACGGATGGACGAAGAATCACCATCTTTCCGCTGTGGATCCGTCCGGATGTCGGCAGTCACCTCACAGCCTTCCACCACGGGTTCTCCACGTTTCTCATCGCCATGAACCCGAGCTTTCACCGCGGGTTCTTCTTCGTTTTCATCGTCGCCAAGAACGGGAGCTTGCACGGACGTCCACTGACCTCCCTTAACGACACCCTCTCGCGTCGTGGCCACAGTCGAGCGACTGTACCGAACCTCTTCGGACGTCCCGATGACCAGCGCTTGTGCATGGAGCCACTTCACGTCTTCACGAGCCGGCCTGTGTCGAGTGTCCTCTCCCCGCTGTACAACATGCGTTTCCCCCGGAGCTCCTGCACTCTCGCTGTCAGTGTCCACAGACGCACCCTCCAAAGCATGACGTTCACACTCGCTACCCCCGGTCTCCAACACTTTGGGAGACTGCCAGTGTTGAGTTCCCTCTTCCCGATGTACAACACGCGTTCCCGAAGAGCGCTCGTCTTCCCCAGGAGTGTGATGTTCAATCTCGCTACCCACGGTCTCCAACACTCCTGGAGCGGGCCCCTCCAGCACGTCGCGAGACCGCTAGTCTCGAGTCTCAACACATGAGAAGGGAGGCGAGCAGGGTAAGCCTGTGTCCAACTGAAGATGCGGGGGCCAAGACGTCACATTTTCTTGGCCCCACGGAACTGTTGCAAGAGGAGCACTTATGGCGGATGGCGATGTCAGCAAATCCGAATGTATTTGGAGTTTGTGGTGGTCGCCCGAGCCGAGGGAACCGGAGGTCGCACCTTCGCTCCTTCGCAATGCAGGCATCCCGCCCTCCAGGCAAAACGAAGACGCGCCCTCTTTAAGGAGCAAGGTGTTGAGCACAAGAGACCTCTGCTGCGCACGGCGGGATGGACTCTCCTGGGCAACGGGAAACAAACTCCTCGCAGACAAGTGCGAATCTACTTGCACTTGATCAGACGTCAGGGTGGCCTCGTCTCGCATGTCAGAATCTCGACTCCCTACGCATTGGGGTCAGTTTCCATATACTGGGGACGCCCGGACGTTCTACGCTTTCCGCCGCCCGACCGCTTCCCGCCCGACCCCTTTCCGCCCGACCCCTTTTCGCCGGACGCCTTCTCAACCGACAATGTCTCGCTCGTCCCCTTTCCGGCAAACTTTGAGCCGTCTTCTCCGCCACCTCCGCCGTCTCCTTCGTCTCCTCCACCACCCCCTCCCGGATGCTGACCGGTCGACGGAGGTTGCGGCATGCGCCAGTCAATGCAACGAGACGGTGTCGTTTCGAGTGCGTAGAAAGGCGCTTGAAACTCCAACATGTTGTTGGCGTACAACTCATGTAGCTTTTGTTCTGCATACGCATCGACGTCCTGATCGTTCCTCTCGGGGTTGATGAGACTCAAATGCTCCACCAGAGCAGTTCTTGCCTTTCTCTTAAATGCACCCGCTCCCAGTCTCTTCAGTCCACTCCACTTGCCATCGGCCTCCTTTATTGCCATGACCCATATTCCATTCCTCACAGCAGGTTGGAATATCCTCGGGTGCCAGACGACGTTGTGTCCCCAGACATCCTCCGACGTGAACCGGTGATGCTTGCCGAAGAAGTAGAGTCTGTCATTCTGCCAGGTGTCATGGTCCACAGGGAGCCTGTCACAAGGTTCGTGATCATAGTCTCTCTCTTCCTCCCGTCATCAGATGATTGGTCGTCGACTGGTTCGCCCCGAAACACACGCTTCAAACCGGCAGGGGACGTGCTATATCTCCGAGGGCCACCTTCCTCTTCATCACCAACCTGTCCAACCACCCGAGGAAGTGGCATGAACTCGAAATCGAAGGTTTCGGAGTCGCTCAGCTCCTCCATGTCTTCAGCGTCGAAAAGGTCCTCCTCGTCAAACTGTGACTTGTAGTTTTCGAGAGTGAGCGGTTCGGCCAGCGTGAAGTAAACGTGCTCCAGCCTTCTCAGGAAGTGCGAGACATACTCCCTGGGTGCACCATGGTACCCATTGAGCACAGCGAACACCAGGTTTCTCCGTCGACTGTATTCGAGGTCGGTCGGACCAGGCGCTCCGGGTCCGAAAAGGAAGTCCCAAACGTTCGTCCTTTTGTTCCCCGGCAATTTCCAATACATGTCACATTTGGGATCCCAGTTCCGTTCGCCGGTGGACCATGCAAACTTGCAAGCATTGCGAGTGTCTGCAACGCGTGCCTTCATGAACTCGTAAAGGTAATCGATCATCTTCGCCTCCTTCTCCAACGCGACGACGTTCCGACCGGTGCGTAGGAGTTCCCACACGACAGACGCATGCGCCTTCCCAAAGAAAAAAACAGTTTGACCAGCTTTGCAAAAGTTTTCGAGTAGACCAAGTAGACGGGACGGGTTCCGCTCCATCTCCTCGTAAGCAGGTCCTTGAGAACTTGTCACGCCGCCGTCCTCCCACATGCTACGAGAGAACCTTTCCTCTTCCGCCACGTCGAAACACGCCACACCCTGTCCTGATGGGCCTGCCACCGTGTGTTTGGCCGGACTTGGACCATGAGCACGGTAAGCCTTTGTCGGGCTACTGTCCAGGTAGACTGCGAATGTGTTGCCTTCCAGCTTCTCGCCATTAAAAATCACGTAAAGGCGGTCACACTCCTCAACCAGCATATTGCCTTCCCGGACAGTGGCCTGCTTTTGTGCATTATGTACCCACTTCCCTGTCCTGACGTGATGGGCGCTAAGTCTGGCCATGCCTTTCAAGGAACTGAGCTCCCAACGAGAGGTGAAAAAGATCATAAGTGCCCAGTGCGTTGGCATAAGTGTTTGTAGAAGGCCTTGCAAGTTGGCGAAATCGTCTTCTCGCCAGTCTGTGAGGAGTGTGGGATCACACAAATCGAGGACGTACAGGTTGCACACGTAATGTCGCACAACCTCACGGATCGCAGTGACATGACTGTGAGCTTGGGAAGGCGGGAAAGCGAAAGGAATAAGGCTGGTCACCCGGTTGAGGTTGGGCCATTTGATGTGCCTCACATCCCCGCTGCCCCTGATCGTGTCTCGAACTTCTTCTTCCATCCGTCGCAAGATGGAACGGACAGACTTTTCGAAAGATTTAGGGAACCTGTGGTCCTCGTACAATTTCTTCGCGTCGTCGAGGGACTCCTTCTCGTGCGGAAGAGTACGTTTGCAAGTGTTCACGTACTCCACCGCGCCCTGGAAATGCTTTCGCATTTCGACCCACACCTGTTTCGTGAGGCCCTGCAGCCCGAACTCCTCCAGAAGCTTCCCCTCAATCCGAAAAAATGGGCTCCCATGGCGCCAAACATGTCCGTCGTCCTCCGTTTCAAGGAACAAGATATAGTGGAACATACGGAGCATCACACGGTCCACTTTCCTTATCGCGACCATGTCTTTAATTCCAGGTTTATGCTGACGCTTTAGATGGGCGCCCGCGGATTGCACGAACACTCCCCGTAGTGCGAGAATGTCGTCGAGGATCGACAGTTTCTCGACATCGGTCATGTCGGCGAGAGACTGCCAACAAAACATGTCTGGCTCCTTCACGACCACGAAAAACTTGTCGTCCGCTTGCGTTTTCTTTTTGGTCGAAGGTGGCGTGACCAGGACCAGCCACCCCATCTTCGTTTCACCAGCCGCCCCTTTCAAGCCCATTTCCGGAATTGCTTGCAAACCCGGAGATTTGTCTGGCATGCATTTGCCCGGCCTCGACAATGGCGTCTTGCCGTCGCCACCCAACAACTTTCCCTCCGCCCATTTCGTGTAGAACTCCATGGCTTTGCGAAAAACGTCATCACCGGCCGTCACAAGCGGCATCCACTGCCTCAATGCATTGCCAACGGCAGCGACATACTCCTTGTCAGCGAGCGGCAAATCTTTTTTTGACAACGCCCTGTGAGATTCGTCCGGACTCTTTCCCAAAATCAGCTTTTGGAAATCGAAAAACTTTTGTTTTCCGGCCTCCTTGCCGGAAGGGTTCCCTTGAATGGCCATCGGCCTTCCTTCGTTCTCCCATGCCTCCCGCATGTCCAAGAACGCGGCCTTCTGCGATCGCTGCTTAGACATCTTGTGTCTCGTGTTTTCGTTGAGACTGACTTGCCTATACCCCGCGAAATCTCGGTCGGAGAACCACACTACTCTCGCTGGCCACGAGTGCATCTTCCACAAATCGAATATCTGCTCACCCTCCAACTCCTTCACAGCAGCCACGGTGTGTTGTCCGTTAACAGGGTAATAGTAGTACTTGTACTTGTCCTCTGGCTTGAAGACATCTTTGTGAACCCTGTCAGCTTGCTCCGGCCTACACGTCACTGGCTTGTAGATGGGTGCCAAAACGAGAGGTTTTTTCGTCCATATCTTCTTCTCGCGGAATTGACTCAGCATCGCATCCTTGATGTCGTCTACAGTTTCGCGACTTAGACTGCGGTGGTTGTAATATCTTTCCCAAGGCGGGATGTCGCAGACCTTCCTGGGGTCGATGAGCAGTTGGACGGGGAGCTCCTTCTCCACGATTTCACCGACATCGTTCCGCTTGTATTCGAGCCAGAACGTTGTCGCTTCGTTGCACTCCTGACCGACAGGCCCTTCGTCACCGCTCGCCGCCTCAGCAGTCTTCCGCCTTCGAGGTTTCTTCTGGCCATCGCCTTCTTCAGCTGCCACTTTCCGTTTCGATTTCCCCGAAGGTTTTCTCTCGGCCGCATCGCCTGGATCACTCGAATCTCCTCCACCCGCGGCTTGTCCTTCGCGGATGGTCAAACCGTCGGGCCTCCTCGCTTTCTTACTTGCCATCCCACCCTCTTCCTTCGTCGGCTTCTTTCCCGAGGCACGTTCTCCGTCGCCACCTCCATCCCCGCCCATCAACGCCTCCGGTTTTCCTCTCATCCTCTTCATGCAGAGGGTTCCTTCCGCCACCTCCTATCGCACCATCCTCTGTCGCTCGCTCTTCTTCTCCGAAGGAGTCTGCTCCCCGCCAGAGCTTTCGCGGACAACGCCCATCCCTTCAGCCTCATTCCATCCAACATCTAGCCCCGATCTGCTTGAATCTCTTCTCGTCTTATCTCGAAGCGAATACGTGTCGGCGCCGCAGTGGACCTTGATAAGTTTCGGAGTACCGACCCGTTGAGTCCCTGTACCCTGAGAATGCAAGTCCGATGTGTTCCTAGGAGCATCCGGGCCGACCTGCGTGTGAATGCTGCGTCCCTTGACCCGACCCCCAGCGTCTTGAATCGGACTCCCGCGCCCCACTGTCGTACCTGGAGTTTCTTAAACCAAGCCGGACGACCCCTCACGGGGTGGCAGAAGCCGAAAAACATGCTCTGGCAGAAGAACCGGACGTTCTTTCGGCACCATCAGCGTGAGATCGAGATATTGCTTTGGCGATGGAAGACGCTTGCTGCCGCCATCGTAAAGGCCTTTGAAGTGAGAGCACAACGGCATGTTCGAGCCGTACCCCGCGAAACTCTTGATGGTCACCAGCACACCTTTAACACCTCTGATAGGCAGTCTGCACTCATCGTACACGCCGTTAGTGTGAAGCTTGAGCAAACCTCCAGGAGTCTTCGTGCACGAGACGACGGTACCGAGAAGAACAACGTTGACCGCTCCCCCAGCGTCTGTAACGCAAGTGGGTCGCATGAAAACAGCTGGCCCAAAAAGGTCCCCCTGAACAACGAAGTCCAAAAACCATGGCGCTCCCTTTGTGTGCATATACTGAGGATTAGGTTGCTGTATAGGTCGTCCCTCACCAGGGGCAGATGGTCCAATGCTTGTGGATGTGTGCTTTGCGGACGCCATTGTATTCCCATCCGTTGACTAGCACGCCCAACCTCAGACCAACTCGGATGACTAATACGCCCAACCCTAGACCACTATAGAAGCGAAATGCGAACTAGCTCGGACTTAACGAAATGGAGGACGAAAAGGACGTAAGAGATGGGTGTTCGAAATGCACACGAAGTCACAACAATCGGGTGAAGGATAGGAAAGACAGAAGTTCGGAGGGAAGACAATAACTATTCGAAAAGATTCCGACCCAACTAGATGCCCTCAAAACGAGTAAGATGTGGTTTATCGACAAGTGCGAAGGGTATCGACAAGTGCGAACTAACTTGCAGTTTTGTAGACAAGACAACAATGGCAACCCGCTCCACTAGGGGAAAGTGCGAACTAACTCGGAATTGTGGAACTGAAGACCTGAAAGACGCACGAAACGAGTAAGATGTGGTTTATCGACAAGTGCGAATCGACAAGTGAGAACTAACTCGCAGTTCTGCTGACAGGACAACAATTGCAACCCGAAGTACAACGGGAAAGTACGAACTGACTCCGAATTGTGGAACTGAAGTCCTCGTTCATCGACGATTGCGAAGGGTTTCGACAAGTGCGAACTAACTCGCAGTTCTGTGGACAAGACAACAATGGTGGTGCGCAGCACTAGAGGAAAGTACGAACTGACTCGGAATTGTGGAACTGAAGACCTGAAAGCCGCACGGGTTGGGTTGTCAACTCTCCAGCAGTGTTGCTTAAAAAGTGCAAACTAACTCGCATTTGTGGAAATAAAGAACTGCCTTTAATGAAATATGTGTTTAACCTTGGAAAAACTGCGAATAACCTCGCAGTTGTCACTCCTCGAACAATGTACGTCGCAAACTGCGAACTGACTCGCAATATCTCTCTCTCTATATATATGTATCTATACATATATCGGCTGCTGCGCATGGCGAACCCCTAATCAATACCTAGTTGCTACACTTAACACCGAATCAATTCCCGATTTTCGCTCACCTGTCCCTTGTGAGGTCGCCGACCTGATATCTACATATATATATATATATGTAAAGATATAAATACATATATGTATATATAGAGATATATTGGTACACTGAACACCGAATCAATTCCCGATTTTTGCTCACCTGTCCCTTGTGAGGTTGCCGACCTGATATATATATATATATACATATATATATATAAGGGGATCGAGCAGCTTTATACGAACGTTATGGTGGCAATGGCGAAAGGTAATCGAGCTGCGGAACGCGGATCGGCTATGGCGGACGGAGGKGGAGGGTGGAGAAAAGAGATCAGAGCACGTCCACTGGCGAAACAACAAAATCAGGAATTAATTCGGGGTTCAACAGAACGCGGCTGCGGCGTTATATCCTGCAGGTACAGACAGGGCATCTGGGAATGTGTTCGGACGTCGGACATAGAATAGGACAACTCAAGTTACATGATTTTACCTTCGTCGTGCGTTGACCAAGCAACCAACCACCGAACCAGCTATGAGTGAGAAAGGAAGAGCTAAGAAGAGCGAAGACCGAGGAGCGAAGAGCGAACCGAACACAATGTGGCAACTGCGAACGGAGCGAAGAGCGAAGAGTGAGCGGGCTACGGTGGAAGGTGTGGGGGGCTGAAGACCAAATATCAGAACGCACGCCGAAGCGATAGCGCGACTTGATCTGTGGAGCGCCAACAAAAGGGATAACTCGAGGGCTGCAATGCCTTTTATACTTTGTTGCAGCAGGCCTTGCGTTTGGATTAAGGTGGGGCCGAATCGATTCGCATATTGCACCCCTGGGCCCATAAAACGCCATCAAGGTGGGGCCGAATCGATTTGATCGGGAACAGTGCGGGTATGATAGGGACCAGGCAACGGTACGTGTGTGTGGAAGTGCAAAGATAGGTAAGAGGATTGCATGTGAAGCCGGAATAGTAGGCTCTCTGTCGATGACAGCGACGGGTGCAATGGAAAATTGGCAGACTGGTTTTGTAGACACAGATTTCTACATTTAATCGGAATCCTCCCAATCTGATTTGCCGAGAACCGCTCCTACAGACAGATTGAAATTCCTAGGTGCAGCGCATAGGTCCTCGACCAAAAGCCAACCTGGAACTCCTTAAGCAGTCCTTCAAGTTTTGTCCCATCCCCTACCTGGAGAAAGGAGAAGATATAATCGAAAAAAATAGGCCCGTTAGAAGGTCAGAACACTCGAAGAGGGCCAAATGTCGATTAAATGAAACTAACATTGCGCTCGTCCCGACGTACAAATGTTGTAAGAACAAGTGTCTTCGGGTCTTGACCATTGACGATATCAAACCGGTGTGCGAAACCTATTACGAAATTTCCCTCGAAAGGAGGATCGAGTGGTGAATGCAAACCCTCGACAATTTCAGTATCCTCGACGGCGGTCCGGAAAGAGTCCAACCAGTGCAGTGCGAACGCCGTGTGTGCATCGCCGGTTGGCGCAAAATAATAAGGATATGTCGAAACACATTTCGTCGTTATAGCAAGTGCAAGTCGGACGGGGTCGTCCGTGACCATCATGGTCGATGGGGATTGTTGAACTCGAAACCGGAGTATGTGAGCATGCTGGCTCGTATGACAAGGTTCGTGGAAGAACATGAAGATGCTATGCCTAACGAAATGGTTGTGAGGGGGACCTCACAACGACCCAAAGTTAGGCTCCCTGCTTATTTCACGAAGCTCCTTGTATATGAGTCTATCAAGACGGACTTGGAAGCGGCGGGTCAGACCGTCGTTTCGGAGCAAGTCTTCTACTCCATATGGAGGAAGTATTTGTGGCATGCCGACCTTGCCTAGTCCAACTCGTTCACAAAGTGTGGCGAGTGTGTCCGCCTTAGACAGGCCAGAGACAACACCTTCCTCCTCCGTGATCGTAGGGATTTCGATGAAAAGCACCGCAAACACCAACTAGATCAGGTCGCTCACCGTGCGGATTACGCTGACTGGAAACTTTGTTCAATTCTTAACCCCGCGGAATACCTCTGCCTTATAGTGGATGGAATGGATCAGAAAAAGACAACCATTCCTCACATCGGCATGTATAATTACTCCAAGGATCATCGACATGACATGATGATGAAAACGAACCTGACCGCGGTCGTAGCTCACGGCAGGAAACCGTCCATTTATGTGTACACGTATTTGCCTTTCTATGCGCACGGTTCCAATGGCACCATAACGTGCGTTATGCGGACTCTATGTGAGTTGCAGGCGTCGGGACAGAAATGGTCACGCCACCTCCGCATCCAGGCGGACAATTGTTGGAAGGAAAACAAAAACCAATACCTTATGTGTTTGGCCTCTCTTCAGGTGAAATTCGGGATTTTCGAAGATGTCGAAGTAGGGTTCATGCTCGTTGGCCACACGCATACCGACATGAACGCGACTTTTAGTGTTTTCTCGAAAAAACTGAAGGACAACGATGCTTGCACCATGAAGCAGTTGTTATCGCTTATCGAGTCGTCGCACAAGGTACCGCTGAAGTGCATTGAGCTCGATCACATTGCCGATTGGCGCCGGGTAGTGGATCGATACGTCGATAGAACCATCGTCGGCGTATCGAAACCGCACCTCTTCAAATTTTTCATGCGTGATGGCAGTCCCGTCATGGTGTACAAGAAGTACTGTACCGATGCGGAATGGATGCCGGAAGGCAGACCAGTTCACTGGTTCCCTGTTGTCGATGGCCAGTATGCAGGCCCTACCTCCCCTCCACAGCCATGTGTTATTCCCTGTGTCGTTAAAGACGATTTTCGGATGGCTCGTGACAGTGTCCAAAAATTTGTGGACGTCCTCGAACAGCATAGACACATGTGGCAGACATATACGAAGGAGAAGGTCGACAAGCGGGAGGATGCTTTGTCTTACTGGAAAGCCATCTTCGTCGAGGCGGACGACATGATCCAAAAGCAAAAGAAGAAGGAGACGGAAGAGGGTGAGGAAAAGGATGTCCTCGGGGCGGATGACCCGGAGATCTACCCTCACGCCTTCTGGCCACAATCAGTCGAAACTATGGACAAAGTTCAAGAAGCCGATCCTCCTTCGCCAGGTGCTTCACTTATATATGTAGGACCGAGGGCGGGCCGTCCAAAAGTGGGCTTCGACCCTCGAGGCCATATAAACAAAGGTGATTTTTTTATTGTTAGGCCGCCTGATGA